GCCATGAGTGAGGATAAAAAAAAATGTTAGATTGAGAATTGACAAAACCATGAGAGAGCAAAGATTATTTGAGCTTAGTATACCAGGCTCGTAGAGCTTGACCCACGCTATAAATGGCTTTCTAAAGGTGACATACATGATAAAGAAGTTAAGGAGAATGAAACGATAAGGCTGTTGCATGAAAACTTCTTTCTCAAGATTGCCTTGGAGAAAGGCATTGTTGATGTCCAATCGACAAAGAGGCCATGTGCCAATTACACAAATTGCTTTATTAATGGGTATACTTTTTCTTTATGGTATTCCACCCCTTGCTTGTTTTTGGTCCAAAGATGAAATTCTTATTGACAATTGATTGTATTCACCATTTTTTTTACAATAATAGCTTGGTCCATGGTTAGATTAACAATATTTTATATGTTTTAAATCTATTTACTTACTTTTGAAAGACATTTAAACCTGAGTGGTAAGGGGGAGAATAATGTGCACTATTATTAGCTTGATTACTAGGCTATAAGTGGAATGAAAATCAATGCTAGGACGTTAAGTGAAGCCCTTGGCAACCAAGTGGGATTTATACCAATCAATAGTCCTACAGGTTTGCATTTAATCCTATAAATCTATTTGCAACTAGCTATATTTTGTGTATTAAAATTAGGAACTAAATCCTAAGTGTGATTGTTAACAAGGGCTTCGAATTCATCACACATGGCATTATGCTAGTGAGAGTGTTTTTTAGCTTGAATAAATGTGGAAGGTTCAAAAGTTTCAGAAACTACAAGATAATAAAAAAACTTTTTAAGTTTAAAAATCTTATTTTTAGATTTAGTAATAATGTGGGGAGGTGGTGGTGAAAGAGAAGAACTTGCCTACAATGAGGGAAATGTCTTAGGGGCGACACTATCTGAGGCTTGAGATGAGAAATCTGATAATGTGGTGAGAAACTGTGAAGTTGTTTGTTTAGGAACTATAGAGACTGAACTGATAGGAATGGAAACATATGCTAGGATGATAAGGTCAAGGGAAAAGAATAATGAAATTGTAGTGGTTGAATTAAGAGAGTCGTCATGAGAAGATGATATAGGAGGATCATAAGGAGAAGAAGTTCAGGCAAGTAGGTTTGCTTTAGTTACTTTAAAAACATGTAAAGAGAAGGATTGAAAAAAATTAATGTTTCAATAAAAATGATAGGTTTTGAAAGGTAAATATGTGATATGGTAGGATCAAAACATTTGTAGCAATGATAAGTGGTGGAGTACCCAAGAAAAACATAGGGTTTGGACTTAGATTCCAGTTTGTGATATATTTATAGTTTAAGCCAAGGATAGTAGAAACAACCAAATGCCTTAAGATTTTGATATTTCGGCTTCTTTTGAAAGATGGCTTCAAATGGGGATTGGTTTTAAATGATGGGTGTCAGCATGCGATTTATAAGATAAATTGTAATTTAACTAGCATGACTTTAAAATTTGAATGGAACTGAAGCATGATGAAGAAGAGTTAATGTTCTTTCAAAGATGTGATGATGTCATCTTTATGCAATGCCAACATATTGAAGAGTGTGACGGGGAGAGTAAAGATTTTGAATGCCATGTTGACAGAGAAAGTGATGAAAGCTATGAAAAGACCCTGATATTTTCCTTTTCAATAAGAGTAAACAACAACATTTGGCAGCTGAAATTATTTCTCAACTAGGTTTTTAAATTGCACATAAACACTTGTAATGTTAGATTTTTGTTTAAAAAGTTAAAGCTAAGTGTATTTGGTAAAGTAATCAACAAAGATTACATAATATTTGAAATGATCAAATGAGGTAATAGAAGCAAGACCTCATATATCTATGTAGAGTAATTTAAATGGTTTAGAGCTATGAAGAGAAGAAATATCAAAAGGTAGTTTATGAATTTTATTGTAGAAACAAAAGTTACATGGATCCAAATAAACTTTCTATGAGATAAGAAAACTATAAAAAAAGACAATTAGATTGAGTGTTCTTTGATTGGGATGGCTTAAGCATTGATGCTAGAGAAAAATGGTTTAACAAATGATAATATTATCAATGGAGGTATGATAGGCTTGTTGTAAATGAGAGACAACTGTGGATAATGGCCACTCGAGATTCCCTTTACTTCGATTGCAGATGAGTGATAGCCCCATGCTTAAATCTTTCACCATAAAATAAGATGGAAAGAATCCAATTGAGGTATTATTACTTTTGCAAAATTGTGAGATGGATTAAAGATTTTTCCTAATATTAGGTGCACACAAAACATTGTTAGGTTAAAATGAATAGTGAGGTGTATTAGGCATGGTAGAACCTATATGTGTGATAGGAATATTGTTATCATCACCAACAAGTATATCATCATTGCCATTATACTCCGAATGCATTGAGAAGTTCTGCAGATCAAAGGTGATATAATGAGAAACACTAGAGTCCATAATCCAATTACTTGTTTGTGATGGTGAAGTGCAGGTTGAAAGGTGAGCTTAAAGTTTGAATGAAATCTAAGACCTGCATACTTTGGTTAAGTGTCTAAACTTTTCATAGATTTAACATTGAATTTTACTTCCATTATAGCTACCATTGGGGTTTGGTAATAGAGGATACCAAGTAGGATTGAATCCATAGTTGCTTGGAGCATAATTCCTTTACTAAGTGTTGGTGTTTTGTTGTTTACCTATTTAGGAGAAATTTCTCCTATTTTTGTTATTATTATTGTTACCTCCTTTGTAATTGTTAAAATTGTTAAAACATTGGTTGAATTGAGTTATGATGGTGGCTGGCTCCTTCGTACTTACCTCGTATTTCAAGAATGTTTCATGATCAGTAAGTTTGTTAAACAGTTCTTCATATGTTATTGGTGAGTCACACACTCGTATGGTAGTGTTGATTTCCTTGTATTCGAGTCTAAAACCTGTAAAGACTTTTATCATTATTTCTTTATCATTGAGAGAAAATCTAAGCAGTGCAAGTTTATCAATAATGATTTTTATTTCTCTCAGATATTCAGCCATAATTTTAATGTTTTTTACAATGTTGGCCAAGGCTACACGTAGACCATAAATTTTAGTTTGTGATTTGTTGGCATATGTGTTGGTGAGATTGTCCCAGGCCTACTTAGCAGTCTTAACTATTACAACTATAGGAGCAATGGTGCCATCGATTGAGGCCATGATGGCATTTCAGAGAAAGTTATCCTATCCGATCCATAACTTGTATTTAGAGGTGGTTGATTCAACTGGGCATGGATACAAGCCATCAATATAACCCATTAAATTATATCCATAAAGTAAGGTGGTAATTTGTGCTCTCTAAGTTGGATATGTGTTGTTACCTATGAGTTTATGAGGAATTTGTAAAGTTACATTGAAGGTTATCAGAGTGTTGGTTTGTGAGTTGTTACCAACTATTTGGATGATGGTGTTTTGAGATTCTGCAATGAAAATCTCAATCATAGGTTGCTGGAGAAAGAAAAGTTGTGCTTAAGGTAGAAAAGGTTGTGCTCGTTGGAAAAATAGGGCTTTGATACCATGTAAAGGCAATTAAAATGGAAGAAAACTCATTACTTATTTATCACAGTGTAAGGATTATATACAGCAAACTATATTAGAAAATAAAGAGAATGAAAAGTAAATCAAGGATCTATATTTGGTAAAAATCAGGCCTATAACTATATACAAATCTAGTTTATTATTGACTAATATGGTTGCTTGAATAATGGTAGATTATAGAGGATAAGAGTTGATACCCTAAAAAAATACTCCCATTTCAATTATATATGATTGTAAAAATGTTTAATAAAAAGTGATAAATCATAAGCATGTATATAATCGTTAAGTTGTTATAATCATTAAGCTAATTGAAATTACAAATAAAATCATATTTAAATTTATTTTTTAATTATATAATTAAATTTATTAAATATACACTATTTGTTCAATTTGATAGAAAAATCATAGTATCTAATATTTAAAAATAAAAATTTGTTGCTCAATGCATATTTTAATTATTATAGAAAATATAAATAAAATAAAAAATTTATTTAATAGACTAATAATGGACTTTTTTAATTTTACAAGTCAAATTAACAAAGTAATATATGCCTCATTTATTTTTAAAATTACCTTAAAAAATATATATCATTTTATTAACTCTGCTTATAAAATTATAAAATTTCATTATCAATATATTTAATAATTTTTTAATAAAATATGCACTCTTTATTGTGTCCAATGGAGCTATAACTTATAAAACTTACATATGAAAATTCTTGTATAATATATCAGGATCCAAATCCATAATCCATACGAAAATTTTTTTATAATTGTAATTATAATACAAATTATTATCCAAACACATTATTAATTATTAATTAAATTAAATTAAACTAATAACTAAAGAATGTGGCCAATGTCATATCCAAACATCAATCATTTACTATAAGACATGTGTGGATCATTTTTCAAAAAATTATAATTATTAATTGATTATTTTTCAATTATATAAAAATAAATGAAAATAATTTTTTAATTATCACGTGGCAAACCACGTGTAAAGAAAACAATCCCTTTTAAGAATTGTTTTAATAATAATAATAATAATAATAATAATAATAATAAGATATAAATTATAAAAAAATTTTAAAAATTTGTGTCAATTATCAAATAGCTTCAAAGGAGATTATTTTTTGTATAAGGTATATTAAAAATAATATAAAATTTTTAAAAAATATCATGTGACATGGAATTGTTTTTAAGATATGGTAAAGTTTTGGCAGACTAAATTAACCAGTGCCTACGTAGTTGTGGGCCATTGTAATGCAGAAATATGTGACAAATGGGTTCCTGTTTGAGTATACGTTACGTAAATCAGAAATGTTTTTGTGAGTAATTCCCATCCTCAAAGTCTCTTTATATGCTGAGAGTGCCTGTGCCCTCCAATTTCAAAACTCCCCACAAAGAGAGTCTTGAAAGGAGCAAGAAGCAAGGTATAATTCTTCATGTCTAGCCATGGATCAAGGGCTTCAAGCAGAATCACAGATGATGACCTCAATGCTCTCATCTTAAAACTACAAACATTGCTGCCACAGCTGCATCAAGGCCGCAATGCCAGGGTAAAACCTATTAATGAAATATAAATCCACAGCTGAAACCCCTTTGCACCAAGAGAATAAAGTTGTGCTGCGTGGGGATTTGCACGTGAATTTTCTTTTTTTTTTTATGCCTATATTATGCTTGGGAAGATTTTCAAGGAGCAAGACTAACCATTGTTTCTATGATTTTATTTTCCGTAGGTATCCGCAACAAAGGTTTTGAACGAAACATGCAGTTATATCAGAAGACTACAGAAAGAGGTAGATGATTTGAGTGAAAGACTATCTCAACGTCCAGGTTCCATGGATATAACTAGTTTTGATGCAGAGATTCTTAGAAATTTGCTGCAGCAGTAAAGGCCCAAGTACTACTTCCAGTTCTCTTTCTCATCAGTTTGTCTGAAATAGTTCCAACAACAGACAAAAATATGTGTTTTTGCCCCTGTGCAACTGTCATGTTTCATTGTTCCTTAATTATATCCAAGTTTGACTGGGATTCCCAGAGCATGCAGTTAAGAATATAAACTATGTATATCAAACGTAAGTGTTTCCATGCTTCACATTCTTCATTGTTTGTTCTTAATAAACTCAAAAAAAAAAAGAAAATTTATGGTCTTGGGGCCCCATTTTACTTGAAAACATTAGCTGCCGAAACCAGTTTCTTGGGAGTTCTTACTTCAATTAACAATAATCTTTGCAATTCCCCACTTCACTCCATTACTACTTCTAGTCATATATATAGTAAACAGTTCCTACTTTCAATCTGCAGTGAATCTCCCATTTTCCCAATAGATGAGGAAATGCAAATAAGAATGACTTAATGAATTACTAGGTTGGGATGAGAGCCTTGAGAGGTTGGTAAGAGATTATCGCTTCAAGCCATAACACTCTTTATATCCCTAAAACCGCAGTAATACTAATAAAAAGTATTGGAAGAACAAACAAAATGTATTGAACAGTGGCGCATTCAGAATTTCTTTGAGGAGGCCATATAAAAATAAAATTTGTAGTTTGAAAATTTTTATTAGCTTATAATATGATATTATTTCATCAAAAGTTATGAAAACATATGTGAAATATAACATTTCATATTGTAATCATAAACAACATACATAAAAATTCAAATATTGAAATAAAAAATATAACTATTAAAAATAAAAGAAATTCAAATATTTTATTTAAAATATGTAACTTGTTAAAATTTTCAAAACTTAGATGTAGATAGTACATTCAAAAAGCTCTTAAATAAATTGTAGATCTAGTTTTGAGTTTTAGTGGTAGTTCTTATGATGTATAAATCATTTTTACTTGTAAACTTCACAAATTTTATTTAAAATGTATATACCTTGTCATTTATTTATTATTAAAGTGTTTATACTATTTAATTAATAACACATAATAAATAAATTATTTTATAAAAAAATTTCATAGTTTACAAATATATTCAATTGTACTAAATTTTTTGTTTTATTGAAGACAGTTTAAATTTTTATTAAACTTGAAAAATAAATAATAGATTCATCACAAAGAGGTATGTATATATGCCTAAGTATCAGCATGTGGAAATAAATTTGTATTTCACTTCACAGAGTTATGATCTGTCAAAAACTAGCTGCTGGAGTGGAATGAGGATTCAGTAGGCAGAACTGTATAAAGCCCTCCAATAATCTAGTAAACACCCCAGTCCCCAGCACTCCGAAATTGGCTGCTGTGGCCAGAAGCTAGCTATTGAAAGGAATATTAATTCTAATTCCAGATTTTGGTTCACGATCGGAAAAGGTGAACTGCTTCATAGTCTTAGCATTCAAAAGCAATTCTATTTAAAAAAATAATTTAATGTTTTTAAAAAATTCAAAAAAGCTTAAAAATCAAATTTTTTTAATTTTTTTAAAATTTCTTTTAGGATATTTTTAAATTTAAGATTTTAAAAAAAAATTAGAGTCACGTAAGCAAAATTAATGGAGAGTAATTAATCTTATTAGTAATTGAACTAACATTATCAAATTCAAGTTGTACAAGGACAAGATTTTTCATGAATTTTACTAAAAAGACTAATGTAATATTTGATTTTAGTACACAAAGTCATTTTTTATTTTTTATTTTTTTAAATAAAAAAATATGAATGAAAACAAATGTTTATAAAAGAAAAATGAAAATGGTCTAAAATATGAAACCAAAAAAGATGTTCTTAATTATGAAAATAAGAGATATACATTACTTTTTTTTTATATATTTTGCGAGTTATCATATTTGAATACTTTTTAATGTCATTAATTAATAAATATATATTATATTTATAATTTGATGTCATTAATATTAATGTCATTTAATACTTTATTTATTTTCTTGTTTTACAATTTTAGAAAATAATTTTTATTTTCGTTTACCGAATACATTTTTCAAACCAAACAAAAAAAATTTTACATTTCGTATGGATATAATAATCAATTGTCTTATTTGGCAATTAATTTCATTTATCTATGGTATTATTTTAGTAAAATCAATACCATATCAGTAAAATTAACACTAATATCGTTAAGTCAACATCATGTCGATATTTTTAATTATAAAAGTTAATAAAATTAAAATTTTTTATTAAACTAAAATTATTAAATTAAAGTAGTATAATGATTACATTTTTATAAATTATAATAAAAAATTAAATTTCAAATTTCAATAGGATACATGATCAGTTGACCTAATTTTTCTTACATATATCTAATACTAAGTTAAACTTATATTAAGAATATCAACTTTTAGATAACAAAATAACTGACCTGAGGCTTGAAAAAGGTGATGGTTCAATTAGGATCAACCCACGTAGCCATGGTGGTTCCTAGTGGCACCGGCCTGTTATCCTTCCACTGCAAAGAGAGGGAGGTTTTCGCTGCTCTGTGAATCCAGCCTCACGCGGTACCATCCACTCTAGGAGCCACGAGACTCAGAGCCTTCGCACAAGTCCCAGTGCTCAACTCCTTGCTTGGAACGGGCAGGCCAGTGAAGAGCCACAGCAGAACCGACTCGGTGAATTGGACCAATGTTCCATCACCCTCATGCCCCCACTCGGGTAACAAGCTGACGTTATCCAGCTCGGCGGGCTGCTGGGGTGTTTGCGCTTCTCTTAAACAACCACTTATACTATCTAGTGCCCAATGTGGGAATTGCTTCCTTTTTTCAAGTAAATCTTGTGGACTGGTGACTTTGAGGTCTTATCTGAAGCCTAAAATCTCTGTTCTAGTCAAGACTGATGATTGCCAAAGCTCAACTACATTTGTCCGCATGGCTAACCTAGGGATTACCTAGAAGAAATGAAGGCAACCAATCTCAACAGAGCTCTCTTTCCGCCACCTTTATCACACCATACAGGATTGTATTTTTCTTTTTCTTTTTTTGGATAGTTACATCACATGGTTGCTGGCTTGAACAGATAAATCGGCATTAAACATTAGTTTAGGCAACTTCTTGAAAATTAAACAGTGTTTGCAACTCTGGAGTAATATTTTTAAAATAACAAATCTAAATAATTCAAAATGTTGATATTTTTTAATTGAAATCCGATTGTTAAAAAATTCAAGAAATATAATTTTTTAAAAGTTAAAATATTGGAAAATTTTTGAATTCAATGTTTTAAAAAAATTCAGAAAAGCTTAAAAATCAAATTTTTTTTTTAATTTTTGGGGATTTCTTAATTTTTTAGATTTTAAAAAAAATTTTCTTTTAAGATTTTTTTTAATTTTAAGATTTAAAAAAAAATTAGAGTCACATAAGCAAAATTAACGGAGAGTAATTAATCGTATTAATAATTAGACTAATATTATTAAATTCAAGTCATATAGAAACAAAATTTTTTATGAATTTTACTAAAAAGATGAATGTAATATTTGATTTCAACAAACAAAGTTTTTTATTTTTTTTATTTTTTTGGAAAATAAAAATTATAAATAAAATTATGTTTATTAATTAAAAATGAAAACAAATTTTTATAAAAGAAAAATAAAAATAGTCTTAAATATGAAAACAAAAAAGATGTTTTTAATTATGAAGATAAAGGGTAAGCTTACTTTTTTTTATATTTTGCGAATCATATTTGAATATTTTTTATTGTCATTAATTAATAAATATATATTAAATTTATAATTTGATGTCATTTAATATTTTATTTGTTTTCTTGTTTTATATTTTTAGAAAATAATTTTTTGTGAGTAATTTTTTAGTACACAACGTAAACTATAAATACGATAGAATTACAATGCATTAAATAACACGATCGATTGCCGGTTATGTTTTGAATTAATTAGTATATTATTAAAATTGATATTAGAAGATTATGAGATCGACAAAGTTTAAATATATAATTTTGTTTCAATAAGATATATAATAAAATAAAAAAATTTTAAAAATAAACTAAAAACTTTAAAAACAGAAAAAAAAATGATATTTTTGCAAGTGAGAAATCAAATTTGAGTTTTCGAAAGGCATCAACTGTTTTTTTTTTTTGTTGATAATTTTTAATTAAATAAAATATTGTGTTTTTACAATTAAAATAAATGTTGATTGCATTTTAAATCAAATATAACATTACATTTTATAAATCCGTCGAACAATTTTAAGAAACACCTGCTTTCAAAACATGATTTCTAAGTCAATTTATCCAATGATTATAATAATATAATAATATATTACTTTAAGTTTTTATACATTTTATAAATAGGCAATTAAAAAATTTTGCATCCATAGATGAGATTTAATATATTTTATTACTCAATTAATTCAAAAATTGATTAAATTAATTGAATTAAATTTAATCAATTAAAATTTTAAATTAATTAATTTAATTTAATTAATAAAAATAAAATAAATTAATTTACTTTCAAATAAATTAATTTAAAATTAACGAAATTAATTAAATGAACATACTAGTATAGAAGAAGGATCTATTAAACATTCAAGAGACAAATGTACCAGTTTTGTATATAAACATCTGTATTTTATATAAATTTAAAAATCTTTAAATCTTGATCAGTTACATCCAAGGATAAGATATTTTATTTATATTATTGAGCAACTTGCTTTTTGCCTTGAGTGGTATATTTCAATTGAGAGCATATCATTGTAAATTATAATATCATTAACTAATTATAATTTAGAATTGTGTGAAAACTATCAAAATTTTATATAAAATTTATACTTATAAATGGTAGATCCCTATATACTTTTTTATTATGATTAAACAATTGTAATATTGTATATAGGTGATAACAGTTCAGATTAGATTTGATTCGGTTTGATTTTTTCAATTAATGCATAAAATTATGAATTTGTAAAATCAGATCCAAATCCAAACTGAGTCTCTATACGATCCAATCCGATTCGATCCAAATTAAATTTTATTAGTTTAATTTAATTCATCGATTTTTAAATGTCTTTTATTTTTTATATATTCTTTTAATATGACTTTTAATATATTTAAATAGATTAGTTATTAAATAATTATTTTTATTTTAAAAAAATTTAATATATATATAAGCCAATAAAAATATATAATTTGGTTTGGTTCAATTTTTTTTTGGTTTTTCACTTTTAATTCGAAATCTGATTCGAATAAAATATATATATTTAATATTCAAATTTAATCTAAACCTAATAAGAAAAAATT